CCCACCACGAGCGGCGAAGGTGGGAGCGAGCGTGTTCCTGGCAAAGAGGGGCGAGTCCGGGCTGGGAGCCGAGCACTGTGGCAAGCAGAGTAGGGGCCAGGGAGGCAGGGCGAAGAGCTGGGCGGGGCTTAAGCAGCCCAGGTAGGGGCAGGCGGCGCTGTGGTGGGGAGCAGGTGAGGTGGGTGTTAGGAGGCAGGAGGGAAGAGAAGAGAGCGCTGCCCCCGTCCCCAGCCCGAAGTGCTGGACCACAATGCAGAAAGACCTGGAAACTTCCATGCACCCTCTGCCTGGTGGACACAGGCTGCCCAGTTTGTGCAGGACACGTCGGGGTGGGGGGGGTGTGTGTGTGAGGGCTGGTGGCTTGACTCAATGGCCGACCCCTCCCCCCCATGTGACGGGTAGGCACACCCAGCTCTGTGTGCCCTATACCCCTCTGGCATCCGGGCACTGACCCCCCCTTCTAGCAACCCCTCGAAGGGCGTGGGGAGGGAGGGGGCACTAGCCTCACTGCCCAGCTTCAGGTTCCAGGGGCAGGTAGCTGCAGACCAGCTGAGTCACCGTTGCCAACAGGGTTTCCAAGGCAACAGCATTCTCCGTGTCCCTCCATGGAAACCCGGGCTGCAGGAGGCCCTGGCAACTTAAAGGTACTTGGCGTCCTCCCGGGATGCAGCAGCGGCTGGGTCGCCCAGTCAGGGTCGCGGGTGGGTGCGGCGGGGCTCCAGAGCGATGCAGTTCCCGGCTCAGCCACAAAGTGGCCACGGGCGCTGCACCCAGACCAGCCCGCAGCAGGGCAGAGACCTGGGACGCTCAGTAGGCCTGGGGGTGGTGAGCCTGGCAGAGAAGTGGGTCCACTGCTGCTGTGTACTGTGCCTCACCTGCAGTCACCATCGCGGCTGCCAAATGGTGTCTTCCCCTCATGCTAACGTGTGTGGGCAGAGCCAACACTCAGAATGTGACACTTCCCCCGCTGGCTGAACGTGGGCAGTGCTATTGTATCTAGCCCCTGGGCCTCAGTTTCCCCAGCTTGTGCTCCCAGGAACCCTGGTGGCGCTGTTGGGTGTGCACGGGATGGCTAATCACAAGGTCAGAGGTTCAAGGCCACCAGCTACTCCTTGGCAGAACGATGGGGCTGTCTGCTCCCATCAAGTCTCAGAATTCCTATACAAGTCTCCAAATGTCACCACCACGTTTCCCCCACACTACTTCCATTTATGTGTCTTTGTCCAGTAGTTCTGTGCATGTAGGTGTGTGGGGTGTACTTTCCTCAAGGCCCTCAACTCCACATTGGGGCGGCGGAAGGGGCGGACCAGCGGCACGGGGGCTTTAGAACTGTGAAATGCCTGCCTGTTCCCATGGCAATCCCCAGGATCCAGCCTGCTCCTGCAGCCAGGCAGATAGATGGAAGCTTTCGATGCTGGGGCCCGTCACTGCTGGGGCTAGCTACAGACTAGCCATCACCCATCCGAAGGAGGGGTGTGTTTGGGGTGGGTGGGGAGACTGAGAGGGAGATGGAGGAGGGGCTGGGTGAGTAGCAAGAAGGGTAGGGGCAGAGGAGTGCACATCCCGCTCCTAGACCCATACGCCTCAGGCAACTGAGGGCTGTCCCCACAGACCCCTGTGCACCGCTGTGCATCCCACGGCTCCTCACAGTTGCCAAAGGGGGAGGCAATCAAATGCCCATTGATGGATGAGCGGTCACATGCCATTTGCAAGGGCGGGCACAGTGTTCAGCCCCAGATGGAATGACGTGCCACGGTACCCC